GAAGAACAAGACAACAGACTGTCTTCATTAGACGTCAATCGTGCAGACAACAGAACAGGAATGGATCGGTCCGAGGCGACGCAAAGATCTAAAGAGGACAAGCCGTCTAAGATCGACGAAGCTGACTCCGCAGAAGCACCAGTCTACTATCACGAGAGTGGAGATTTGTTTGCCGAAGACATCGAGCAACACCTGGCGGTGTTACCAGAGATGTCCACTGCTACGGAAGAAGTGACAATTAACGACATTCAGATCGGCGATCCGGACGTTCCTCTCACCGCAGATCAACAAAGACTCAGATCGCTGATTTGGAGGAGCCGTCACCTTCTTATGGGGGAAGGGCAATGCTCTACCACCAGCGGCACGATGGACGATTTGTGATATCGATGTCGGTGGAGCCGCACCAATTGCGCAAAGCGTCCGTCCGGTCGCACCCAAATATCGGGAGAAGCTGTCAGATCTCATCAAAAGGACTGTTGGCAGACAAGATCGTTCAGCCATCCACGTCAACTTGGGCGTCTCCGATAGTGGTGATCATCAAGAAGAACGGAGTGGATATTCGCCTTTGCATTGATTATCGAAGAGTGAACCAGCTGACGCGACTGATGGTTTATCCCATGCCGTTGATCAGCGATCTGCTGGAAGATCTGGATAAAGCTCTATGGTACTGTTCGCTAGACATGGCTAGTGGATTCTGGGTCGTCGAAATGAACGGTCAACGGAGTCGGATCGAATCCACTCGATGAAACAAATCTATCGTCGAAGGATAACGATCGTGAGATCGAAACAGAGATCGCGATGAGAAGAGATCACGGGACCGAACGAGAAGAACAAGACAACAGACTGTCTTCATTAGACGTCAATCGTGCAGACAACAGAACAGGAATGGATCGGTCCGAGGCGACGCAAAGATCTAAAGAGGACAAGCCGTCTAAGATCGACGAAGCTGACTCCGCAGAAGCACCAGTCTACTATCACGAGAGTGGAGATTTGTTTGCCGAAGACATCGAGCAACACCTGGCGGTGTTACCAGAGATGTCCACTGCTACGGAAGAAGTGACAATTAACGACATTCAGATCGGCGATCCGGACGTTCCTCTCACCGCAGATCAACAAAGACTCAGATCGCTGATTTGGAGGAGCCGTCACCTTCTTATGGGGAGGGGCAATGCTCTACCACCAGCGGCACGATGGACGATTTGTGATATCGATGTCGGTGGAGCCGCACCAATTGCGCAAAGCGTCCGTCCGGTCGCACCCAAATATCGGGAGAAGCTGTCAGATCTCATCAAAGGACTGTTGGCAGACAAGATCGTTCAGCCATCCACGTCAACTTGGGCGTCTCCGATAGTGGTGATCATCAAGAAGAACGGAGTGGATATTCGCCTTTGCATTGATTATCGAAGAGTGAACCAGCTGACGCGACTGATGGTTTATCCCATGCCGTTGATCAGCGATCTGCTGGAAGATCTGGATAAAGCTCTATGGTACTGTTCGCTAGACATGGCTAGTGGATTCTGGGTCGTCGAAATGAACGGTCAACGGAGTCGGATCGAATCCACTCGATGAAACAAATCTATCGTCGAAGGATAACGATCGTGAGATCGAAACAGAGATCGCGATGAGAAGAGATCACGGGACCGAACGAGAAGAACAAGACAACAGACTGTCTTCATTAGACGTCAATCGTGCAGACAACAGAACAGGAATGGATCGGTCCGAGGCGACGCAAAGATCTAAAGAGGACAAGCCGTCTAAGATCGACGAAGCTGACTCCGCAGAAGCACCAGTCTACTATCACGAGAGTGGAGATTTGTTTGCCGAAGACATCGAGCAACACCTGGCGGTGTTACCAGAGATGTCCACTGCTACGGAAGAAGTGACAATTAACGACATTCAGATCGGCGATCCGGACGTTCCTCTCACCGCAGATCAACAAAGACTCAGATCGCTGATTTGGAGGAGCCGTCACCTTCTTATGGGGAAGGGCAATGCTCTACCACCAGCGGCACGATGGACGATTTGTGATATCGATGTCGGTGGAGCCGCACCAATTGCGCAAAGCGTCCGTCCGGTCGCACCCAAATATCGGGAGAAGCTGTCAGATCTCATCAAAGGACTGTTGGCAGACAAGATCGTTCAGCCATCCACGTCAACTTGGGCGTCTCCGATAGTGGTGATCATCAAGAAGGACGGAGTGGATATTCGCCTTTGCATTGATTATCGAAGAGTGAACCAGCTGACGCGACTGATGGTTTATCCCATGCCGTTGATCAGCGATCTGCTGGAAGATCTGGATAAAGCTCTATGGTACTGTTCGCTAGACATGGCTAGTGGATTCTGGGTCGTCGAAATGAACGGTCAACGGAGTCGGATCGAATCCACTCAATGAAACAAATCTATCGTCGAAGGATAACGATCGTGAGATCGAAACAGAGATCGCGATGAGAAGAGATCACGGGACCGAACGAGAAGAACAAGACAACAGACTGTCTTCATTAGACGTCAATCGTGCAGACAACAGAACAGGAATGGATCGGTCCGAGGCGACGCAAAGATCTAAAGAGGACAAGCCGTCTAAGATCGACGAAGCTGACTCCGCAGAAGCACCAGTCTACTATCACGAGAGTGGAGATTTGTTTGCCGAAGACATCGAGCAACACCTGGCGGTGTTACCAGAGATGTCCACTGCTACGGAAGAAGTGACAATTAACGACATTCAGATCGGCGATCCGGACGTTCCTCTCACCGCAGATCAACAAAGACTCAGATCGCTGATTTGGAGGAGCCGTCACCTTCTTATGGGGAAGGGCAATGCTCTACCACCAGCGGCACGATGGACGATTTGTGATATCGATGTCGGTGGAGCCGCACCAATTGCGCAAAGCGTCCGTCCGGTCGCACCCAAATATCGGGAGAAGCTGTCAGATCTCATCAAAGGACTGTTGGCAGACAAGATCGTTCAGCCATCCACGTCAACTTGGGCGTCTCCGATAGTGGTGATCATCAAGAAGAACGGAGTGGATATTCGCCTTTGCATTGATTATCGAAGAGTGAACCAGCTGACGCGACTGATGGTTTATCCCATGCCGTTGATCAGCGATCTGCTGGAAGATCTGGATAAAGCTCTATGGTACTGTTCGCTAGACATGGCTAGTGGATTCTGGGTCGTCGAAATGAACGGTCAACGGAGTCGGATCGAATCCACTCAATGAAACAAATCTATCGTCGAAGGATAACGATCGTGAGATCGAAACAGAGATCGCGATGAGAAGAGATCACGGGACCGAATGAGAAGAACAAGACAACAGACTGTCTTCATTAGACGTCAATCGTGCAGACAACAGAACAGGAATGGATCGGTCCGAGGCGACGCAAAGATCTAAAGAGGACAAGCCGTCTAAGATCGACGAAGCTGACTCCGCAGAAGCACCAGTCTACTATCACGAGAGTGGAGATTTGTTTGCCGAAGACATCGAGCAACACCTGGCGGTGTTACCAGAGATGTCCACTGCTACGGAAGAAGTGACAATTAACGACATTCAGATCGGCGATCCGGACGTTCCTCTCACCGCAGATCAACAAAGACTCAGATCGCTGATTTGGAGGAGCCGTCACCTTCTTATGGGGAAGGGCAATGCTCTACCACCAGCGGCACGATGGACGATTTGTGATATCGATGTCGGTGGAGCCGCACCAATTGCGCAAAGAGTCCGTCCGGTCGCACCCAAATATCGGGAGAAGCTGTCAGATCTCATCAAAGGACTGTTGGCAGACAAGATCGTTCAGCCATCCACGTCAACTTGGGCGTCTCCGATAGTGGTGATCATCAAGAAGAACGGAGTGGATATTCGCCTTTGCATTGATTATCGAAGAGTGAACCAGCTGACGCGACTGATGGTTTATCCCATGCCGTTGATCAGCGATCTGCTGGAAGATCTGGATAAAGCTCTATGGTACTGTTCGCTAGACATGGCTAGTGGATTCTGGGTCGTCGAAATGAACGGTCAACGGAGTCGGATCGAATCCACTCGATGAAACAAATCTATCGTCGAAGGATAACGATCGTGAGATCGAAACAGAGATCGCGATGAGAAGAGATCACGGGACCGAACGAGAAGAACAAGACAACAGACTGTCTTCATTAGACGTCAATCGTGCAGACAACAGAACAGGAATGGATCGGTCCGAGGCGACGCAAAGATCTAAAGAGGACAAGCCGTCTAAGATCGACGAAGCTGACTCCGCAGAAGCACCAGTCTACTATCACGAGAGTGGAGATTTGTTTGCCGAAGACATCGAGCAACACCTGGCGGTGTTACCAGAGATGTCCACTGCTACGGAAGAAGTGACAATTAACGACATTCAGATCGGCGATCCGGACGTTCCTCTCACCGCAGATCAACAAAGACTCAGATCGCTGATTTGGAGGAGCCGTCACCTTCTTATGGGGAAGGGCAATGCTCTACCACCAGCGGCACGATGGACGATTTGTGATATCGATGTCGGTGGAGCCGCACCAATTGCGCAAAGCGTCCGTCCGGTCGCACCCAAATATCGGGAGAAGCTGTCAGATCTCATCAAAGGACTGTTGGCAGACAAGATCGTTCAGCCATCCACGTCAACTTGGGCGTCTCCGATAGTGGTGATCATCAAGAAGGACGGAGTGGATGTTCGCCTTTGCATTGATTATCGAAGAGTGAACCAGCTGACGCGACTGATGGTTTATCCCATGCCGTTGATCAGCGATCTGCTGGAAGATCTGGATAAAGCTCTATGGTACTGTTCGCTAGACATGGCTAGTGGATTCTGGGTCGTCGAAATGAACGGTCAACGGAGTCGGATCGAATCCACTCAATGAAACAAATCTATCGTCGAAGGATAACGATCGTGAGATCGAAACAGAGATCGCGATGAGAAGAGATCACGGGACCGAACGAGAAGAACAAGACAACAGACTGTCTTCATTAGACGTCAATCGTGCAGACAACAGAACAGGAATGGATCGGTCCGAGGCGACGCAAAGATCTAAAGAGGACAAGCCGTCTAAGATCGACGAAGCTGACTCCGCAGAAGCACCAGTCTACTATCACGAGAGTGGAGATTTGTTTGCCGAAGACATCGAGCAACACCTGGCGGTGTTACCAGAGATGTCCACTGCTACGGAAGAAGTGACAATTAACGACATTCAGATCGGCGATCCGGACGTTCCTCTCACCGCAGATCAACAAAGACTCAGATCGCTGATTTGGAGGAGCCGTCACCTTCTTATGGGGAAGGGCAATGCTCTACCACCAGCGGCATGAGAGGCGATTTGTGATATCGATGTCGGTGGAGCCGCACCAATTGCGCAAAGCGTCCGTCCGGTCGCACCCAAACATCGGGAGAAGCTGTCAGATCTCATCAAAGGACTGTTGGCAGACAAGATCGTTCAGCCATCCACGTCAACTTGGGCGTCTCCGATAGTGGTGATCATCAAGAAGGACGGAGTGGATGTTAGCCTTTGCATTGATTATCGAAGAGTGAACCAGCTGACGCGACTGATGGTTTATCCCATGCCGTTGATCAGCGATCTGCTGGAAGATCTGGATAAAGCTCTATGGTACTGTTCGCTAGACATGGCTAGTGGATTCTGGGTCGTCGAAATGAACGGTCAACGGAGTCGGATCGAATCCACTCAATGAAACAAATCTATCGTCGAAGGATAACGATCGTGAGATCGAAACAGAGATCGCGATGAGAAGAGATCACGGGACCGAATGAGAAGAACAAGACAACAGACTGTCTTCATTAGACGTCAATCGTGCAGACAACAGAACAGGAATGGATCGGTCCGAGGCGACGCAAAGATCTAAAGAGGACAAGCCGTCTAAGATCGACGAAGCTGACTCCGCAGAAGCACCAGTCTACTATCACGAGAGTGGAGATTTGTTTGCCGAAGACATCGAGCAACACCTGGCGGTGTTACCAGAGATGTCCACTGCTACGGAAGAAGTGACAATTAACGACATTCAGATCGGCGATCCGGACGTTCCTCTCACCGCAGATCAACAAAGACTCAGATCGCTGATTTGGAGGAGCCGTCACCTTCTTATGGGGAAGGGCAATGCTCTACCACCAGCGGCACGATGGACGATTTGTGATATCGATGTCGGTGGAGCCGCACCAATTGCGCAAAGCGTCCGTCCGGTCGCACCCAAATATCGGGAGAAGCTGTCAGATCTCATCAAAGGACTGTTGGCAGACAAGATCGTTCAGCCATCCACGTCAACTTGGGCGTCTCCGATAGTGGTGATCATCAAGAAGAACGGAGTGGATATTCGCCTTTGCATTGATTATCGAAGAGTGAACCAGCTGACGCGACTGATGGTTTATCCCATGCCGTTGATCAGCGATCTGCTGGAAGATCTGGATAAAGCTCTATGGTACTGTTCGCTAGACATGGCTAGTGGATTCTGGGTCGTCGAAATGAACGGTCAACGGAGTCGGATCGAATCCACTCAATGAAACAAATCTATCGTCGAAGGATAACGATCGTGAGATCGAAACAGAGATCGCGATGAGAAGAGATCACGGGAACGAACGAGAAGAACAAGACAACAGACTGTCTTCATTGGACGTCAATCTTGCAGACAACAGAACAGGAATGGATCGGTCCGAGGCGACGCAAAGATCTAAAGAGGACAAGCCGTCTAAGATCGACGAAGCTGACTCCGCAGAAGCACCAGTCTACTATCACGAGAGTGGAGATTTGTTTGCCGAAGACATCGAGCAACACCTGGCGGTGTTACCAGAGATGTCCACTGCTACGGAAGAAGTGACAATTAACGACATTCAGATCGGCGATCCGGACGTTCCTCTCACCGCAGATCAACAAAGACTCAGATCGCTGATTTGGAGGAGCCGTCACCTTCTTATGGGGAAGGGCAATGCTCTACCACCAGCGGCACGATGGGCGATTTGTGATATCGATGTCGGTGGAGCCGCACCAATTGCGCAAAGAGTCCGTCCGGTCGCACCCAAATATCGGGAGAAGCTGTCAGATCTCATCAAAGGACTGTTGGCAGACAAGATCGTTCAGCCATCCACGTCAACTTGGGCGTCTCCGATAGTGGTGATCATCAAGAAGAACGGAGTGGATATTCGCCTTTGCATTGATTATCGAAGAGTGAACCAGCTGACGCGACTGATGGTTTATCCCATGCCGTTGATCAGCGATCTGCTGGAAGATCTGGATAAAGCTCTATGGTACTGTTCGCTAGACATGGCTAGTGGATTCTGGGTCGTCGAAATGAACGGTCAACGGAGTCGGATCGAATCCACTCAATGAAACAAATCTATCGTCGAAGGATAACGATCGTGAGATCGAAACCGAGATCGCGATGAGAAGAGATCACGGGACCGAACGAGAAGAACAAGACAACAGACTGTCTTCATTAGACGTCAATCGTGCAGACAACAGAACAGGAATGGATCGGTCCGAGGCGACGCAAAGATCTAAAGAGGACAAGCCGTCTAAGATCGACGAAGCTGACTCCGCAGAAGCACCAGTCTACTATCACGAGAGTGGAGATTTGTTTGCCGAAGACATCGAGCAACACCTGGCGGTGTTACCAGAGATGTCCACTGCTACGGAAGAAGTGACAATTAACGACATTCAGATCGGCGATCCGGACGTTCCTCTCACCGCAGATCAACAAAGACTCAGATCGCTGATTTGGAGGAGCCGTCACCTTCTTATGGGGAAGGGAAATGCTCTACCACCAGCGGCACGATGGACGATTTGTGATATCGATGTCGGTGGAGCCGCACCAATTGCGCAAAGAGTCCGTCCGGTCGCACCCAAATATCGGGAGAAGCTGTCAGATCTCATCAAAGGACTGTTGGCAGACAAGATCGTTCAGCCATCCACGTCAACTTGGGCGTCTCCGATAGTGGTGATCATCAAGAAGAACGGAGTGGATATTCGCCTTTGCATTGATTATCGAAGAGTGAACCAGCTGACGCGACTGATGGTTTATCCCATGCCGTTGATCAGCGATCTGCTGGAAGATCTGGATAAAGCTCTATGGTACTGTTCGCTAGACATGGCTAGTGGATTCTGGGTCGTCGAAATGAACGGTCAACGGAGTCGGATCGAATCCACTCAATGAAACAAATCTATCGTCGAAGGATAACGATCGTGAGATCGAAACAGAGATCGCGATGAGAAGAGATCACGGGACCGAACGAGAAGAACAAGACAACAGACTGTCTTCATTGGACGTCAATCGTGCAGACAACAGAACAGGAATGGATCGGTCCGAGGCGACGCAAAGATCTAAAGAGGACAAGCCGTCTAAGATCGACGAAGCTGACTCCGCAGAAGCACCAGTCTACTATCACGAGAGTGGAGATTTGTTTGCCGACGACATCGAGCAACACCTGGCGGTGTTACCAGAGATGTCCACTGCTACGGAAGAAGTGACAATTAACGACATTCAGATCGGCGATCCGGACGTTCCTCTCACCGCAGATCAACAAAGACTCAGATCGCTGATTTGGAGGAGCCGTCACCTTCTTATGGGGAAGGGCAATGCTCTACCACCAGCGGCACGATGGACGATTTGTGATATCGATGTCGGTGGAGCCGCACCAATTGCGCAAAGAGTCCGTCCGGTCGCACCCAAATATCGGGAGAAGCTGTCAGATCTCATCAAAGGACTGTTGGCAGACAAGATCGTTCAGCCATCCACGTCAACTTGGGCGTCTCCGATAGTGGTGATCATCAAGAAGAACGGAGTGGATATTCGCCTTTGCATTGATTATCGAAGAGTGAACCAGCTGACGCGACTGATGGTTTATCCCATGCCGTTGATCAGCGATCTGCTGGAAGATCTGGATAAAGCTCTATGGTACTGTTCGCTAGACATGGCTAGTGGATTCTGGGTCGTCGAAATGAACGGTCAACGGAGTCGGATCGAATCCACTCAATGAAACAAATCTATCGTCGAAGGATAACGATCGTGAGATCGAAACAGAGATCGCGATGAGAAGAGATCACGGGACCGAACGAGAAGAACAAGACAACAGACTGTCTTCATTAGACGTCAATCGTGCAGACAACAGAACAGGAATGGATCGGTCCGAGGCGACGCAAAGATCTAAAGAGGACAAGCCGTCTAAGATCGACGAAGCTGACTCCGCAGAAGCACCAGTCTACTATCACGAGAGTGGAGATTTGTTTGCCGGCGACATCGAGCAACACCTGGCGGTGTTACCAGAGATGTCCACTGCTACGGAAGAAGTGACAATTGACGACATTCAGATCGGCGATCCGGACGTTCCTCTCACCGCAGATCAACAAAGACTCAGATCGCTGATTCGGAGGAGCCGTCACCTTCTTATGGGGAAGGGCAATGCTCTACCACCAGCGGCACGAGGGGCGATTTGTGATATCGATGTCGGTGGAGCCGCACCAATTGCGCAAAGAGTCCGTCCGGTCGCACCCAAATATCGGGAGAAGCTGTCAGATCTCATCAAAGGACTGTTGGCAGACAAGATCGTTCAGCCATCCACGTCAACTTGGGCGTCTCCGATAGTGGTGATCATCAAGAAGAACGGAGTGGATATTCGCCTTTGCATTGATTATCGAAGAGTGAACCAGCTGACGCGACTGATGGTTTATCCCATGCCGTTGATCAGCGATCTGCTGGAAGATCTGGATAAAGCTCTATGGTACTGTTCGCTAGACATGGCTAGTGGATTCTGGGTCGTCGAAATGAACGGTCAACGGAGTCGGATCGAATCCACTCGATGAAACAAATCTATCGTCGAAGGATAACGATCGTGAGATCGAAACAGAGATCGCGATGAGAAGAGATCACGGGACCGAACGAGAAGAACAAGACAACAGACTGTCTTCATTAGGACGTCAATCGTGCAGACAACAGAACAGGAATGGATCGGTCCGAGGCGACGCAAAGATCTAAAGAGGACAAGCCGTCTAAGATCGACGAAGCTGACTCCGCAGAAGCACCAGTCTACTATCACGAGAGTGGAGATTTGTTTGCCGACGACATCGAGCAACACCTGGCGGTGTTACCAGAGATGTCCACTGCTACGGAAGAAGTGACAATTAACGACATTCAGATCGGCGATCCGGACGTTCCTCTCACCGCAGATCAACAAAGACTCAGATCGCTGATTTGGAGGAGCCGTCACCTTCTTATGGGGAAGGAAAATGCTCTACCACCAGCGGCACGATGGGCGATTTGTGATATCGATGTCGGTGGAGCCGCACCAATTGCGCAAAGAGTCCGTCCGG